AGCTTGTGCATCCAACTTTTACTTCTCCGCACTCCTCTCTACATTCCTCCTTAGCGTACAGTAGCGACAGAAAAAACAGTTGACCTCCCGTATGTGGGTATAATTCAAAGAGACTCGTCATGCATCACTCGTCCAGATCCACAGATACACTCCCCCCATGAAGTCGACTGTAAGAATGCCGACACAGTAGCTTCATAGCCTGCGATGATGGAAAGCAGACCTTCGCTTCTGGGTGTACCACTCGGAATATCGGAATCCAAGTCGGGAAGTAAACCGACATTCTCCGAAAGAGCCCAGTGCTGACTAGCATGGTCATCTGATAGTTTCGGTTCTGACGGACCTTCGTGGTCGCCCAACTTGGGAATTTGAACATCGGCAGCACTAGCGGTACTTTTCAGAGCTAGCAATACATCTCGACACTGTAACAATAGGCCTCGGAGTAAGAAGTTGCGTATCTGTCTGTTTTCCTCGTGGCAGATCTCGTAGTATCCGTAGCGGATATCGACCCCGTGTTCTGGCCGCGGCGCGCGTGACGTCTCTCGCGAAACCCAGTACTCAAAGAGCTGGAGGGTGAGATTGAGTACCGAGATAGTCAGCAACAGATTCGTGCTGTCTTTGGGACATTTAATACACTGCAGGAACATCTGACATGCGCAAAATGTGCATTTGATTGTTTGCAGGCTGTGATCGAGCCGCAGGGGCATTGATCCAGCGAGTAGGTGGTTCAGCCGGTTCATGTGAAATAGCTGCATATCCACACACTCGCATGGTGAGATCGGATACGGCGATGCCACAGAACCGGCTAGGGATGGACTGGCCATCCCGTCGGCTAGTTCTCCGGACAGAAATGTCGGGGTCACGGGTGTATGCGGATATCCCAGGCCAGCTGGGAGAGCAGGACATGAATCAACCAGATCTGTGAATGGGGAGCTCTCAACTGTTGTCAACTGTCCAGGACAAACAGATGATTCTAGGGTTGTTGTGTTGCCGAAGCTTCGGGGACTTTCCCAGAAGCCCGGCCGATTAGATATAAAGCAGACCTATAGGATGGCAAATTATTAGAAATATGCCGAATTGGTGAGTGTAAGTGAAAAAAAAACTTACATCGTTGTCAATTGCTGGGTCGGGAATTTGACTGCCATAGTTATTCCCAACTAGTGGTTCCATGTCGGCCACAGGGGCAACAAGTCGACTACCGCGAAACCCACGCATAGGAGGCTTCTCTTCTTGCAGCTGACCTAGTTTGCGGAGAGTAGCTCTGTTTTTGCTACCCTTTGGTTTACCAGATCGATTTGCAAATCCGTATTGGCACTGTAGGCCGTGGCGTAGGCAGCGAGTACAGACACTCTTGCCAGACAGGTTGCATTTCACTTTGGATTGCCGGCAGTTTTCACAAGCAGTTCGTAGTTTAGGTGTATCTCCACCAGCATATGGGCTGCCATTGGACTCTGCAAGCATTTTCTGTTTGGGGTTGGTTGAGAGACGGGGGGAGTTGGGGGTGGGAAACACGAAGGAAGCTAGTAGGATCTCCCAATACGATATCAATGACAATACCTATAGCCCAGGGTTTGGTGATATGTGGATATAAATGGAAAGGAAAAGGGGAAAATGGGAAATTAGAAATAGAAAGCCAGTTCCATACAATGATACCGCACACATCCAATGAGGTAGATGCTTCACAACCCCCCTTTACATCCACTCCCTTGTATATATATATGAACAAGCTCAAGCTTTAGAGAGAAGAAATGTCACTCTGGCATTCGAATCCAGTACCGACGGCAGCCGCATAAACAGGTCAGCCGCTGTGAAACCCCATATGCTTCCATCTGATCAACCACGCATGGGACGCAAACTGGCACCAGTATTCTGAGGTTAAAAAGAAGCATCTTCCCTCGAAATTCCTTCTTAAATCTGATCCAACCTGATCTGGCAAAAGGAATATTGAAGATTGCTTTGGATTGAAAGCTTTCGCCATTTTCGAACACTGCTCGTGATATGGAGAAAACAGGGTCCCTCAAGAGAAAACCGGCTAGGGGTCCTTTTGTTTGGTAGTCGTCACACCCTGATGCAACATCGTAAACGCCAATTTCGGGGTTAAGTTTCTGGGTTATTGGAAAACCAGATGAACCTTTTACTAACAAGGGCTGTTGGTCTGTTCTCCCGCTAGGGCCTGTTCTCTTGCCAATGGAACACAAGTACAATAGCCTCGGATGGACAACGCTGGGTACCATGTGAAATAGAAGCAAAACAAAAGGTATCTTTTTTTTTATCGGCTGACCGGGTCTAGTCCCTGTAAGTAGAAATTATGCGTTCACCGCTTCATTTCTTTCGTCATTGTGTCATTGTTGCACATACTAATTCGAGTCATCGTCAGCAGGGGGACCTTTGACCCTTGAGAGATTCTTGAACATAAGCCACGCCACGTACGCTACAACGTGAACATTTCATTCCCATGCTACCTCTGACAAAATGCCATGAGCATGTTGTCTAACCTCTTGTGTTGCTCCAGACCCCGACTCAGCCGCGTGGAATCTGACAGGTCTCGGCAACCCCGCTGTGCCGATAATCGAATGCCTTCAACAGCCCTGTCAGGTGAGCTACTGCTGCGCAGACCACCAACACGTGGAAGATTTGATGCGAACTCCCCACAATGTCAAATTTCCCGGGCATGAGTCGCTCAGGTACTCGGGCCGCATAGATCCCGGCTCCAAGTATATACAAGAAGCCCTGGAAAACGAGCCAGTTTAGACCGATCTGCTGTTGCATGCGGTCAAGTCCGAAGAGAAAAACCCCATGGAGTACGGGGAAGACAGCAGATAAGCCCATCCCAATGAACATGGTAGCGCGGAACGGACGCCAACGAGGCGTGCGGAACCGGGGAGAAGCGGATACAATCACGCAGCCTAGCCCAATGGTACAGATCATGGCCCAGTACCTGTTCTGGAGATTAGGTACACAATAAAATCCATAGAAGACACTTGGTACAAAGCTTCCCACAATGAGTCCCACGATACCGATATAGTCCAGTGCATTGCCAATGCGTGCAACCACAGGTGAATGATTTGAGATGGTGTGATAGGTTGCGGACATGCCAAGACAGAAGGCAGCCCCCGCAAAGAAACAGGAGAAAGCTAGGATATCAGAATCGGCTGCATCCCGGTATCGCTGAGAAAGCAAGTGGTAGAGCCAGTACGCAGCGGGGGCAGCCATCACTGCTGGCAAGAGGTGGGTGTAAATGTTGACCGTCTCATTGTGAACGTAACCCAGTGATTGAAATGAACTCAAAAATGAGGACGAGGCGGGCCGATATCCAGTATGGATGTGATGGTTGTCGCGTTGCCAGTGAGGTAGATCGTCCCAATGAAGAAGTCGCTTTACCAAGTTGTGAGCCTCCTCACCAACAGTAGTCATCTCCGTAGACTGACTATCTACCGACACTTTCTGATGTTCAATAGGGCGACGCTGGTGAGGCATGATCACATGTGATATGCAGGTATGTGTATGCAAGTATGCAATGAGTTACAGGAATATTTTGAAGTTGACCAACAGTAGAACAAGTAAGACAAGTCACCAGATAAAAATTCTTAGAAAATTGAAAAAGAAAAATAAAAAAAAGGAGGAAAAAGATGAATTAAATACTAAAAGATGAAGATAAAAAAGAAGAAATTCCAGCTGTTGGGTAGTTCAACGTAGGCCATGTTGGGGAAAGCCTCGGCGTGAGAGGAAGCAAACAAGACAAACACTATATCAACTCCAAATGATGGTTGATATCATACTATAATGATACTATGTCAACACATGTCAACACAGGGAAAGATGAGTCGCTTACGCCCAGTATCTGACTCTCTGGAAAATGTTGGATTCGTTTCAAAGGGTGATAAGAAGTGCGTTTGAGATGCGCAATCTTCCCAGCCAAAAATACTAATATGCTAACATCCGTAGACTGTTGGACCATAAGATTCAGACACAGTACTTCGACAATATAGTCGATCGATACATGCGATTTTGTGCCCAGCACTCGAAAGACCTTGATGCAGCATTATCCTCTCTTCCAACGAGTCCCTCAAACGATGCAACTTCCAATCCGCCCGCTTCCCAGTCGCCCTTGAAATTACACCCCGCACAGAAGGGTGTCCCGCCACCATCAACAGAGCTATCCACACTTCTTCTCTCCCTTCGGAAGCTGCGCGAAGCCGTTCTGGCAACAGCTACAACTACTCCGGCAGAATTCTCGCAGCGGATTCATGTCTTCTCCATTCGCTTATCTATTCTTGCGCATCACCCACCGTCATACTTCCCCTCTCTACGATACGTTCTGGATAAACTGCACTCCACATCTCACCCAATACCCGGCGCCGAAGCCACGGAACTGATCACATACTTGATTCTCGATTATGCCTGTCGGCAAGGAGATATGATTTCAGCATTTGAATTACGTGCCCGGGCGCGGAAAGAGCATTCCTACCAGTCCCAGACAGTAGATAAGGTTTTGGCTGCCTTAGTGCACGACAATTGGGTGGTATTCTGGCAATTACACAACAGCGTGGATTCTCACATCCGCGCAGTGATGAATTGGGCTGCAGATCGAGTTCGCAGGCATGCGCTCAAGGCCGTGGGCAGTGCCTATCTCAGCGTGCACATCAGTTGGATTTTGGGTGGCTGCACAGGAGACGAACAGAGTTGGACATGGGAGAAATTGGTTGAGCAAGAGAAGCTTCGCTGGGAACGCGAAGGTGATAGGATTATCATCAAACGACTGAAGCAGAGGGCCCCTCCCAAGCCGGAGCCAAGTGCATCGAGTGCATAAGTACATGTCGGGTTAGACTTTCTTTGGACAAGAGCATTCAGTGGCGTTCGTTTCATTGCATGGCGTTGGTTGGGAAAACGTCGTATCATTAGCAGATGGATATCATTCATGGAGTATTAATTATTATTTAGATCGTGTGCAGACAGATTGAATTCAATGGCCCCCTGGCCGAAGTGATTTTCAATTTAAAGTCTTATAACTTTAGGTCTGAGTTTGGCCGATCTAAATTGGTCTGTCCGGTGACAGGCTGTTTTGAGATCGTATCAGCCAACTGTCCCTTCATGTGAGTCGCTCTGTCGGTACAAAGCTCGTAGACCGTCGACAAATTGAATATCAAACTACCAAACGAATGGTTGGATGAGACCTGGGCCTCAAGGAGCTGACGAGACTAGGAACAAACAATCAGCCAATGGGTTCAAATCACCCTTCAAATAGTGTATTGGACAAGGGGATCAAATACCTCATCCAGTTGTCCAGTGTAGAGAAGACACACAGCCAGATTCTGAGCTACCAGAGCCCCATCCGTCCTTGTCCTATCCTCCCCAAGAATGCGCCACTCGGTCACTGCATCGGCGAAGCGACCATCTGACATGCTTATCAGTGGCTTCAATAAAGCAGCCTCTTTCGTCTCATTAGCATCACCAAATACCTGGCTTGCTGCGTCTAGTTCACCAATCCGCAAAAGCAAAAGTGCCTTCCTCAACTTGGTTATGTTTGACTCTGATCCAGGTGCCCGAAGGTTATCAAGCGATCTCCTGGCTGAATCGAAATCATCCATCTCTATAAGCGCATTCACACCCCTAATCCCAAGATCTGCCAATCGCTGTTTCCATAATTCTCGCTCATCTTCAGTGGCTTCGCTTCTCATGATCTCTCGGCGCGCTTCCAGGCCGATCTCGTACAGGCCGCCAATACTTCGGCGAGAATCACCAAAGCCTATACTCTGGAGTCTAACGGCCAGTACGCGAAGCGGCCATGGAACAATATGACGAGGATCTTGTTCATGTTCTTGCTCATGTTCTGAGTCTTTATCATTATCGGTCGCAGCTGATTCAGGCTTGAGATCGATGTAATAGAACGCTGAACTCAAATCTTCTAGGGCTTTCGATTCCTGTGCTGCAAGAACTGTATTGCCCGACAGATCCAAGCTGGCTAGGCGCGTGTAGAAGAGGGAAAAGATGATCTTTATATCCGTAGGAGATATTAAAGACGAGGTCAAGATAGAAGCAGAGAAATGGGCCGCAATGAGGAATCGACCCTCGGCCAGTAGCTTTTCGAGGGTGCCTAGCGAAGTTGATAAAGGCTCCCCTGGGTTGAGGATAAGGAATTCGGATCGTAGTGGCGGAGGGATGTCAAGATGAGAGAGGGTATGGAAGTTGCTATGTCTGAGTAAAAACGATAGGTCTTTCTCTAAACCTTCGGGTAGATCGTCTGGCGCAAGCGGATCCAACTCGTAGAAGGATGACCCAGAAAAGGTGTTGTTGGCAGCAAGCATTGATTCGTGTTTGATAGGCGAGGTGGGTGTTTCGGGGAGAGAGAGAGGGCTGGATCATGTAAGAGAAAATATATAGTGGTGGAAGCCAAGGTACAATGCTCACTCGTCTGATGCATCTAAAGGACCTCTTGTCGAGCTGCGGGGCCGAGAAGCTGTATAGGCAATCAGGAAGGGATAGTCGAAGTGTGAGGGGAATGAAGTGAGCACTTACACCTGGATATATTCCGAATGTGCTTGTCTGGTACTGAATCCATCTTTACAGCCTTCGGGGTGTTTCTGAGATCAATTAATAAGGAAAGTAGAGTAACCTTGGAAGTATTCTACTTGAAGTCGAAACAAAACACCCGATAAGCTATCGGATTCTGCCAGGGCGGTGAATTCCGGATCTGGCGACTTGGCCGCGATCTGGCGTTGCCGAATGCAACAAGCTGTCAGCCATACGTTCCCTACTCTTTTCTTTTCTCTTTTTTTTTTCATTGATCTTCGCTCGGATCTTTTACCGCTCCTTATTTTATTAATTGACTCGTAGGGTTTCAAAATGGCGGCGGCTAAGAACAAGTACTCGGTCATTCTTCCCACCTACAATGAGCGGAGGAACCTCCCTATCATTATCTGGTTGATCCAGAGGACCTTCAATGAGGAGTATGCGCTTGAGCTGATATAAATTAAGAGTGCTGGGGCTAACGTCGTTTTTTTAAACAAAATTATAGGAAGCTGGATTGGGAGGTTATTATCGTCGACGACGGATCCCCTGACGGCACCCTCGAGATCGCGAAGCAGCTCCAGAAACTCTATGGCCCGGAACACATCGTCCTTAAGCCCCGTCAGGGCAAGCTCGGTCTGGGTACAGCTTACGTCCATGGCTTGAAATATGCCACCGGCAATTTTGTTATCATCATGGACGCCGACTTCAGCCACCACCCCAAGTTCATCCCTGAGATGATCCGAATTCAAAAAAGAGTCCGACGCCGACATCGTGACCGGAACCAGATATGCGAACCGAGGAGATATCAAGGGTGGTGTCTACGGCTGGGATTTGTTCCGCAAGTTCACTTCGCGCACTGCCAACCTCATCGCGGACGTCATGTTGATGCCCGGTGTGAGTGACCTGACTGGTAGCTTCCGGCTGTACAAGAAGTCAGTTCTGGAGAAGGTTATCCTCAAGACTGAGAGCAAGGGCTACAGCTTCCAGATGGAGATGATGGTCCGTGCTAAGGCAATGGGCTACAAGGTGTCCGAGTGTCCGATTACCTTCGTCGACCGTCTGTATGGCGAGAGCAAGCTGGGTGGATCCGAGATTGTTGAGTATCTCAAGGGCGTGTTGAGCTTGTGGGTTAAGGTCTAAATCGGGCCTTGCCATAGGGATTTTGGTGCCCCAATGCTTCGATTCGTCTTTGCCTCAAGTCCAACATGGTATCATGACTGGACTTGCCTACTGCCCGTGCTGTGATATACCCCTTTCTGACCTCCGTTATTCTGAATCCGTGCACTTCTGGGTGGTGTTTGAATGACCTGTTTATTGTTGATATCAATTTAACGTTCTCTTGTCTTCTGGATTTCACATTTCTATGCTTCAATATCATCAACCTCCAGCGCTCAGAGGGTCTGGAGGTACCGTAGAACTCGATCAATGAGGTCCTGTTGACCTTCATCACAAACATTGTGGCTGGCTCCAGGAATGACCCCGCTGTTTTCCGCATCCCACTTGGCGCCTCCCGCTTCGGTGGCCTGCTGCCATCTCTGCAACAGCTTTTCCTTGTCCACCCAATGCGGGCAATACTCATCTTCACCAGAATACAAAACCAATAAACTTGATTTGACAATGCCCTGGGGGCCCACCTTCCCAAAGGTCTCTTGCAAACGTTTATCACTCAAGTCGGAGCTGAAGAGATCGTCCTCGGATGGGTTCTCGGGGCTCTGAGGGCTGACCAGACTCAAGAATCTCCGGGCACTGAGAGGCGTGTCAGGAGGATAAGAAAGCTTCGCAGTCAAGTTCAATGGGAGAATTGTGTCGTTTTTCTCTGCTGTGTAAGGCTGCTCTTTGGAAAAGCCCACAAGCTGATCGTAGACCTTTCGAAGCTCGTCGGGCTGCGGAGAGGAATTGATAATAGCCTGCAGACCCTCTCTATCAGAGGCAGGTGCTTGCATAATAGCACCATCAAGCTCAGGACGGACCATGTGCTGAAGGCCGAAATCAAACTCCTTGTGCGGCACGGGGTTCAGCGAATAAAGGTAGTGGAGCACGTCCTGGCTTCCGGTCGAATGCCCCATGATAGCAATCTTTCCGGCTTTTGTCAGTGGGCCGGGTTGGCGTGACGCCTTGAGATCGCGAATGAACCGCGCACATTGCCCGATTTCTTCTACATCGCGATCAAGGCTTCCGACTCCCCATCCGGCATAGGAGGACGACAGTAGGATAGAGAAGACCGACCATTCGGTATTTTCTAGAGCTTTGGCTAGCTTGGCAACATAGGGAACAGTGCAAAATCCATCTGTCAGTCCGCCCACGAAGATAAGGCTATTTATCTTGTTGATGCCCTCTGTTGGTGGGGTGAACTCAAAGGCCACGAGTTTGGGAGCCTGCGGGCGTTAGCTTGGCGTGTAGAATGAATAGCCTAGTACATACATATTCATGGAGGACGCCACTATGCGACGCCCCGCGACTAGCCTGTGAGGACATGATAGAAATGTGGTGGTTGTTGAGAAGATGAGACTCGACAAAGGTGGGAGATCAGCAGTTGACGTTATCTTGCAGGCGGGGTCGGCCATGGCCCATGTTGTTTGCCTTACAAAGTACATTGGTTGTCTCCGATCTCATAGGCTTGAACATTTTGTTTATATTTTGAAGTAGATTATGCCAATGACATTTGATCTATAAAATACGGAGTCCTCCGTTTGGCGGTTCATACTACACGTTTCAGGCCTAGCCACACCCACACTGTCGCCAAGATCGACCCGCGTGAACCCTGTACGATATGTCTGACATCCCAAACCCCTCTTCTCATTAAAATGTGAAATTTCACTCGTTTTCTACTATGAACAGACCACAAAGATAAGGTCTTTTACGAGAAGCGCAAAATCTACAATAAAATGCCGATATATCGGAACTTCAAGCTCGTGGGTCGATCAAACAATGCGACTCTCGGACGGGAGGACCCTAGGCTATGCCGAATATGGCTGTGAAACAGGCCATCCGCTAATGTTCATGTATGGCTATCCCCAATGCTGTCTTGAGCCTTCAACGATAGACCATATCTTTCGCCAGCGCGGAATTCGTGTGATTGCCCCGGAGCGCCCAGGCTTCGGCCTCTCCACAGTCCAGCCGAACCGACGTATTATGGACTGGCCCACCGATGATCTCAGACTCTCCCGTTTTGCAATCATGGGCGGCTCCGGCAGCGGGCCCTATGCATTGGCGTGCGCGCAGGTGCTCCCTCAAGACATGATGTCCGCAGTCGGTGTACTTGCTGGAGCGGGCAACTGGAGGGCTGGGGCTCATCATATGCCTTGGATATATTGTGTTTCGATGCTGGCGACAGAACACTGGCCAACTGGGCTACGGGGGTTGTTGACCATTGTGGTGTGGATGCTTAGAAATGGGCTGAGTACACAATTGGCAACTCGGAGAGTCAATGATTACTTGGCAAAGGACCAGGACCAACATGACGAATCGGCCGAGGAACGGAGAGCTCAATTGCTACGCATATTATTTGAGCCTTTTGCGCAGGGCGCTGGCCCTGCTGCATATGAGGCGAAGCTATTGTCACAAGACTGGGGTCGAGTTCGGCGACATTACTTACACCAACCTCCACATCTGGCATGCTGAAAAAGATTAGAATTTCCCGCTACCCATGACGGAGTACTACGTCAAACTTCTTTCTAACAACCCATTTTTTAAAGTGTTCAAAGGCGATACACACTTCACGATTCATAGGCATCTGGACGAGATCCTCTCAGAGCTGATTCCCGAGAGCTCATAGCATCACAGCAAGAGCCCAGATGGCTACTGCTTCAGGAAGGGTGTGCGGCACTATAATCATATGTTGTAATCATAGCATACCATGTACGTTTACCCCACTCAATCACTTGTCGATATATCACATTTTGCTGCTAGATCTATGGGGGATAGTCATCCGTAACACCCTACACACAGTTTCTGTTGCAATGGCTGAGTGACATGTGATTCTGGCAATCAAACAAAGATGCCGCTTCACTATTATTAAACCGTGTAGACGTCAGTTTCTGGGCTGTGTTACCGCTGTCAGACGTTGGTATAAACTCCGTAGTCGTTTTCACAAAGACACAAGAACCATGAAATAACCAGGGCTTCTGTGTACCATATGAGATCATCAAGTCTCCGGGTTAGGAAGGTGGTATGTGCATAGTTTTACACATCACCTTAGGTGATCTAGATATGTAATTGTAGTGCACGTTATTGGGAGATCGTGAGGCAATGATGGGATACTCAGGAAGTGACTTTTTGGTAAGTTCCCATCGTAGGTGACCTCATCACCAACGGCTAAAATATCGAAATAGAGAACAAAAGCTATTCAGAACTTCGATATTAATTCGTTTGTTAGTAAATGAGAATGTAGTCCACAAATTGGTCAAGATGACTGTTTGATCTGTTGGTGCCTGAAGGCTAAGGCATAACACCTAACCATGTTAGGACTAGTGTCACCGCCCTTGACCTTCGTCTATTGCTGAAGATTCTCTATTTCTCAAATCAAATAGCGGACGTCTCAATGCACAAGATCGCAGCTGCGTTGCTCAATAAAACGTCTGTTACTGAGATTTGGGTAATTCGAGATACTTTACGCATGCACACCACCGGTGTAATTGGCTGTTGTTAACGACACGACCTATCTAAGCAACATGCCTTCCGGCCGCAGATCTGGCCGCTTCAAAGGTCCCAGGGCGGTTTACATTGATGATCCATTTAAGGCAGCTGGGATCAGTGATGATGAGGACTCAACCAAGCAGGAGAGTTCTCGCAAGGGGAAAAAGAAGCGAGCCCCAACAGAAGATTCAGCCTCAGATAATGAATTTGTGGCTGGCTCGGGTGAAGAAGCTGATGAGGGAATTGAGGAAGAAGACGAGCTAGAAGATGAGCCCGAAGAGGAGGTAGAAGAAGAAATTGGACTAGATGCGGATGCCTCTGACCCCGAAGAAATGGACGTCGACGGCATCGGGAATACTCCTAGGAAAGAGCGCTCGATACCGTTCCAACACGACGCGAGCGTCAAAAAGCGAAGGGCAGATGGAACAGTTGTACCATCTGCTGAAGAGACACATACTCGTGGCATCATCGAACCCAGAGATCACTTGTCCAAAGGCACTTATTACAATCTCACTTTCGGTTCTGACGATCGAGACCTGATGCCAGCCATCCACTTCCGGATGCGATGGAACAAGGGTATAGATGCGGTCTTTCCCTCTCGCGTCACCCTGGAGGAGACAGAGAAGAAGCCTGAATACCTGTACGGTCCCACGTTTGGGGTTCACCCCGATGATGTTATGAAAGAAAGCACCCGTGGATGGGACTGGTACTATGACCAGGACACTGGAGAGAGATTCCGGAAAAGACAGCGCATTGAGACGATGAAAGAATCAATCGTGTTCCAAAATTACCTGCCTCAACCAGACACGCGAAAGCATGGCATTTTACTGGGGCCGCATGATAATCAACAACTATTCGAATTGGGATATCATGAGACTTTTGACTATGGAAAGGCCTGGGAGAAACCAGGCTCCAAACCAGGCGGATCGGGAGCTGGGACCAAAAGGGTTCGAGAAGGTTGGATGCTAAACATCGGTCAAAAGGCACATTGCATGACTTGGGCTCCAAACCAGAATGGTCTCACCCAGTATCTTGCTGTGGCGGCGCCGATTACAGAAGATCAGAAGAACCAGTACAAATCCGAGGAAAGTGAGCCTATCTCATCGTTTCAACCCTCGGAGCCTTTCCCTAGCGCTCTGCAGATTTGGGAGTTCAAAGCCAAACCGAGCGAGACTCCTACAATGACCCTCGATATGGAATCCAAACCCCGTCTTCGACAAGTCCTGTGTGCTGACTGGGGTGACTTGAGACGCATGGTATGGTGCAATTTGCCTCGGACCGAACGAGTGGAGGACGAAGAAGAACAAGCATCCATTGGTCTACTCGCAACAGTTTGGGGAGATGGATATGTCAGAGTTTTGGATATAAAAACAAGTACAGAGTCACAAGGAACCGAATTCCGTGAGTACCCCTTTCGAGAGACTCTCACGAGTCCCGCTAATGCGCAAGATATAGTCAAAATCAAATCGCCTGCGTTTGAGGCCAAACCACCATCAACAGTTTGTACATGTGTCACTTGGCTATCCCCCAGTGATCTTGCAGTGGGATGCGGTAATGGCTTTGTGGCTATCTGGAACATCGAACCTTCCTCTGCGTCTGAACCTACACCTTATTTCTACCGGCCACTCCACGCCACCTACATACTCGACATCACCTCGGCATACCCGGTCCACCCCCAACTAATGACCACCATTGCTATGGATGGCGAAACAAGGATGTGGTCGGTCCTCGATCCCACCAGTGAAATGGCCTCGACGGGCCGCATGCGAGGGGCCTCTCCCTTCGTCAGTTATTCTCCCATCTGCCAGTCCGTTATTGCCGGGGATGAAAATGAATTCGCTCGCGTGATTCCAATTCGACGATTTTTTACCACCACCACCATTGCGCGACTCAGCAGCATCATTTCGGCCATGGCGCAATGCAGCAATCATCACCCCTGTGCCTTATTTGGCAGTACCGCAGGTGAGGTCGTAGGAACAAATCCCTTCCGACGAGTGGTTTACAACAAGGAGCAAATCTGGCAGCAGATATGGTTTACACATGAATGGATTCCCACCTCTAAGACGGGCACTATGGGCACTAGTCGGTTTCATGACGGATACCGGGCAGAAAACCAGAAGCTGGCAATGCACAAGCTGTTCGAGACCAACCCCGTGAATGGGATGGGGACCTCGACGATCTACGAAGAAAACACTCATGTCACAGCCCTCGGGTGGAACCCCAACCGCCCTTGTGCAGCGTGGGCCAGCGCTGCGCTGGGGTGTGGATTGGTAAGAGTGGAAGATCTTGCCATCTAGTGCCGGTCGCAATTAGGATGACTGCGTCAATGAAACAGAAGAGCTGCCTAGACTTTCATGTCGATCGAGGACATCATAGTTGATCTATGAAAAGAAACTAGGCGACAGTGAAACGAAAAATACGGAGTACTACTACAACATAGTATATCAGTCGTGTCACAGTGGATCCCTGGAGCCCCCAGCCACACCAATTGCTCACTTGAGTCGCCGTGGAAACCCCACCACAACATCGTGGTTGGCAGATGCGCCATGTGGGGTTCTTACGTAGATCTTCCTCCAGCCAATCAAAATCAATATAAGACAATTAAAAATAAATTAAAAAACATAAAAAGCCATGGCTGGATTTACTACCAACCCAGCCACCGTAGATCCCAGCCGCCTATTTTTGGCCCAATAGAAGTACACTTCACCGTGATAGTAGATCTTTTTCATACCACTTTTAAACCCGGACTTGAGTCCTTCTCTTTCATTCTCAATCCTCTATCATCCATCCAAACCTCTCTCTCAAAGTCACCCATATCCCTATTCTCTTATTTACATTTCGGTCTTCAGTTTCAAGCGTCTTTCTCTTTTCAATTATTATTGCAAGCTTCAATTGCTCCCCGTCATCATGCATTTCTCTTCTGCTGCACTTCTTGCCCTTTACTCTATCGGCGTGACCTACGCGGCGCCTTTCGCTAATCCCGAGAACGAAGATCTCGCTCGTCGCGCAACCTACTCCGTGGTCAATGCCGATGAAGACTCTTCCAGCGCAGTTGCACGCGAAGTCGACACTATCTTCGAAACCTCCACAGTCACTGCTCCCGGTGCCAACCCAGTGCCCATCACTGTGACTGTGACTGCCACCCCTTCAAGCGTGGTTCAATCCTCGACTCCTGTGGCTAGCTCTACTCCGTGCGGGGAGACCCCTAATGTTCTTCCAACTGCTGGCTCTAACTCGTTCTTCCGCCGGGGCCTGAGAGCCGCTGGTCAGCCTGCTCTCTTTGCTCGCGAATACTCTAGCTCCTCTTCTGCTGCGCTGTACCCAACCGAGAATCCCGCTGCCTCTGGTGCTGAGTCTCTCTATGCTCGTGGCTGGTACTCTATTGCTTCTAGCACTCCTTCTGTTGCCACCCCTACCGCCTCGACTGGTTCCCTCGTGGCTCGCAGCTTCGGTGATTCGCTCTCTTCCGCTGCACCTTCTTCCAGCCTAAGTGCTTCCGTCACTGCCACTCCTCTCGTCGCGCGTGGCTGGTACTCTTCTGCTGCCACCCCTACCGCTTCAAGTAGTTCACTTGTGGCTCGCAACTTCGGTGATTTGTTCTCTTCTGCTTCCGTCGCACCTTCCAGCCTGAGTGCTTCCGTCACTGCCACTCCTCTCGTCGCCCGTGGCTGGTACTCTTCTGCTGCCACCTCATCTGCCTCGGCGGCTCCCCTTGTTGCCCGCGATGTGTACGCTTCTCCCTCTAGCTCCAGCGTTCCTACTTCATCTGCTCCTCTGGCTGTCCGCGGCTCCTATGGCTGGTACTCTCCCGTCCCCAGCGCTTCCTCTGCTCCCACACCTTCTGCTTCTCCTGCTCTTGTGGCCCGTGATGTCCGCAACTGGGGGTCTTCCGGTGTCTCTTCCAGCACCTTCGCTGCATCGGCTACTCCTGTGGTCTACTAAGACAAACGGCATGGGACAAGTGATTTAGCTTTCGAGGAAGCACGAGCAATGTTTTCCATGAACTGATGGAATCCTTGATTTATGGCACGATATGATTGCAACAACGAAAAAGAAAAAGACTGCGAATGACTTGATTTATCCCTATGATGGCTTTGGGGATGCATATTTGACTGGCGTTTTTACCGGAAGCGAGTTTGAGATGGCTACAATTCTTCATGTGTTTGTTACTTTTTTTGTGGATATGGGGTTGGCTGTTTTTGCGTTGGCTTGACCTGATAGACTGGATTTGAATATTTGATGGGTCCCCGAATTACATAGAATGGTTGCACGATGCACCGATATTAACGGAAGGAAATGAATTCTTTTTTATGACAATATTTCCGATATCATACATAATTCTCCGATTAATCGTACGAATATTTTCCATAACTTGTTAGATAGTTATGGTACTAACTACCTAGGTAGATATGTTGTAACTAGTTGGTTGGTTCCTGGAAGGTGAACTACAGCTTATGTAACGCGGTTTATGGCCGCGCGGTGGTTGCCCCGAGAGACGCGGCCGTAAACAGCACCATCCCTCCGATCACCTTCAACCTTGGAACTTCAGACACCTTGACCTCTAAGGGTCTTTTGTGTTGTTACATTTTTCTTTTATTATTCTTATTTTCTTCCTTGGACCAGTGATTTCAACACACTTCGATTGCATGCGCAAAGGCTGGCCGAGCCTCAACATCGATAACAATGCCGGGGACAGTGGCAGATGGACCTACGGTCTCCATGTCTTGTATGTGGTACTACACCAATATATATACCCTTGCACGCACTAACAATTATTCTAGTTGCCAACAATTTTTGGGGCAAAGATGATGCAGGACTTCAACCAATGTTGGACCGCGTGCATGGTTCAAAGATCACAAACGACGAACTGAAGGTTTTCTACAGCAGTACGTGACATGCATGCGGCCGCGAAACATCAAATTCTAACACATTTATAGTTCGAGCATCTATCGAAGATGAATATGCGCGGAAACTCCACGCTCTGTGTCGCAAGACTTTGGGATCGTGCGAGACAGGGTCGCTCCGAGCCTCGCTCGATGTGGTTCGCGGCGAGACTGAAGCCATCGCCAAAGCACACGCCGCCATTGCGGGACAAATGAAGGTTGAATTGGAGGAGCCGCTTTCTGCCTTTGCTAGTGGTATTAAGGAGCGACGAAAGATTATTCAACAAACCATTGAGCGTTTACACAAGACTAAAATGCAACAGACACAGCTTGTTAACAAGGTGAGTAATTTTGTGGAGTAATGAGAGGTAAAATGCTAATTCTACAGACGCGTGATCGTTACGAGCAGGACTGTCTCCGCATCAAGGGATACCTCGCGCAGGGCCACATGGTCATGGGCCAGGAAGAGCGTAAGAACAAGGCTAAATTGGAGAAGACCCAGATCCAGATGGCATCAAATAGCCAGGAATACGAAGCAGCCGTCAAACAACTCGAGGACACAACTGGACGCTGGAATAAGGAATGGAAGTCAGCATGCGACAAATTTCAAGATTTGGAAGAGGAGCGTCTGGACTTCACAAAGAGCAGTCTGTGGACCTACGCGAACATTGCTTCAACTGTTTGTGTCAGCGACGATGCTGTATGTTTATTCCGTCCGGCGTTAATTTGCGATACTAATTCAACATATAGTCATGCGAGAAGGTCCGTCTGTCTTTGGAGAACTGTGAAGTCGAGAAGGATATTATTTTCTTTATCAAGAACCAAGGAACTGGCCAAGAGATACCAGATCCACCGCGTTTTATCAACTTCTGCAAAGATGATGACTCGGGCTCTGATATAGATGAAGCCGACGGCTACTCCGTAGCCCAGTTCCAACGCACCATGAACCCTGCATTCCGCACATCTTCACCTCAACCCTCAACATTCGATTCACACCATGACCCACAGTCAGACCTTGCCGCTCAAATGGGACATCCTGCTCCGGCCGTTAGCAATGCGCCGCCACCTCAGCAGCAACCGCCACCATTACAGCAGCAGCCACCCTTACAGCAGCAACCACCTCTTCAACAGCAGCAACCACCTCTTCAGCAGCAGCAACCACCTCTTCAGCAGCAGCAACCACCTCTTCAGCAGCAGCAACCACCTCTTCAGCAGCAGCAACCACCTCTTCAGCAGCAGCAGCAGTTCATGCAACAGCAGCAGTTCATGCAACAGCAGCCTCTGATGCAACATCAACCCCTGATGCACCAGCAGCCTCCTATCCAACAGCAGCCTCCCATGCAGCCGCAGCCTCTCCTGCGACAGCAACCGCCGCCACAGCAACAGCCCCAGCAACCCGCACCTCTGGACTTCCGACGTGGCGGTGCACCGCCTCCGAACTATGATCCCGAGCAACATGGAGAGATTGGAGCTGTTCCCCATAATGCATACCCCACAGATGGTATGACCATGTTCTGTCGTGCTGGGCCACCTTCAGAGCGAAGCTCAGCAACGAGCGCGTATCGTCCGTCTAGCCGTGGCTCTCAGAGCGAAGTTTCAAACTCAACCTCTATCTCCAGTGTTGAGGAAACTCCTACCAAGAAGTCTGTGGTAAGCCCAACGAACAGTGCGCCGATGCCAATTTCTGGGGATGACAAATCACCCAAAAAGAAGAGCGCTTTCTTTAGCAACAGCCCTTTCCGTCGCAAGAGTCGCCATGATAAGGAAAGGCCTGCCATTGGTCCACAGCAGGTGGCCTCTCCACAGGCGGTTGTTTCGCCCCAGCCTACGTCTCGTGGTGGTTGGGACTCGCCGACAAAGCAAATCAGTCCGACGAAGCAAATGAGCCCGCCAAAGCAAGTGAGCCAACCCAAGCCAGTCATCAGCCCGCCTAAGCAAGTGAGCCCGCCCAAGCCAATCAGTCCGCCTAAGCAAGTGAGCCCGCCCAAGCCAGTCAGTCCGCCTAAGCAAATGGGTCCGCCCAAGCAAGTCAGCCAACCAAAGCAGGCCAGTCCAATCAAGCAAGTCAGCCCAGTCAGGCCTTCAGTAGGCCCGCCGGGTCGTGCCTCAGGCAGCCCAGAGCCTGTTGATCCTCGAGCCAACTTTCAGCTCAATGTCGGGAATAATGTCTTTGATGTCGCATCCCCAGAAAAGAGCTCACCCCAGAAAGGATCACAGCCAAACCAAGCACCTGAAGATGACTCGGACCCTATCGCGCGGGCCCTAGCGGACCTCAAGACAAGTGGGAAGCACTCCGCCACTCGGGTGTCAGCAGATAGATATCATGGTATCCCCACACCTACCCCGTCAGCGCAGTCTTCTACATATGGTGGCAGCAATGCTAGCGTTGCTGCTCCACCACCAGCATACAATGATCCCACAGTCAAGCGACTTGGCGCACCTCAGCCCGCCTTCACGGCTAAGCAAATGCACAAGACAACTCAAAAGTATACTGGCCAAACCCAGAGCATGCTACGAGGACAAAACAACAGTATGGGGTCAAGACACAGCGCTCAAACCCAAGAAGCCCCCCCGAGCTAAATCGCCAGCACCAGCACCGAGACGGAGCGTCAGCCCTCAGGTTGCTCCCCCCGTGTGGATACTCGCATGAGCCAGAACAGTGGCAGGGGCCCCAGCCCTAGTCCGAGTAGTTACCAGTCTAACAGCATGCGGAGTCAATACAGCCAATCGCCCACTCCCCGTCGTACTCAAGATCCACCCTACTCTCCAAATGATTTTGCTCGCAGGGCCTCGCCCGCTATGAGCCACCGTGCTGTATCCCCGCAGCCACAGTTCAGGCAGCAAACCCGTCCTTCTAGTGCTGGTGGGATGGAGCTGCAGTTATCTGGAAGCCACGATATGTATGGTTCCAGCAGTCCCGGTGGATACGCCGGCTCGACTCGAGGAAGTAGCCGCCCCTCATCGACTTATGGTGACGGTCCGCCTATTGGCCGATCCCGGAGCCGTACTATGGCTGTTGCAGAGCCTGGACGCAAATTCAGCCGTGATGGCCGTCCAATCTTGCACTTTGGTAAGAACTTGTCTCTCCTTTCGACAATGCGTTGTTAGTATCTAACTCGATTTCAATCTCACAGCTCGTTCCATGTACACCTACAATGCCGCCATTCCTGAAGAGCTCAGCTTTGGCAAGGGCGATGTCCTTTCTGTTATCCGCCTGCAGGATGACGGGTGGTGGGAAGCCGAAGTCACCAATGCCCGTGGCCACCCTGGCCTCGTGCCAAGCAACTATCTGCAAATCATCTAATACCCCATTGATCTCACGACCAGCCACGACCTTCGGAACGTTCGTCCTGACGGTGATGCCCTCCCTCATGTTCTCACGTAGATACTATGCCTTTCGCCGACTTTCTTTGCACATTGGCGATTCTTTTCTGACTCTACTTCTATTTTTCTTTCATTCTCAACATGGTGCTACAGGTGGTATAGTCCCGTCTTGACATCACTGAACAGCCTGTTTAATATTATTATTTCTGTTCTTGCGAATGTTTTTGGAAACTTTAGCGTGTGTTCTGGGGATCCTTTTACCATGTGCTTCGTGTGAATTTGTTGAATTTCTTTTTTCTATCTTCTCCTTCTCTCCACAGAGATCTGTTCGAACGAAATTGTACGATGAGCAATCTCGGGCCATGAAGACTTCTACATTCATGGTTTTTTCTTTTCTTTTCTTTTCTTTTTCTTATTCCCCCTTCTTTGCTCCGTTCACGGTCATTTTCTTTGCTCTATGTTTGGATGCTCGTTCAATTGTTACGGAGGATACGATAGCTTTGTTCTAATTGATTCTCTCTTTTCCATTATATCGGTATCAGTTTACCTGACTATATGTCCTCCTAATGGGCTCCTTAAGATACCTACGAAAGGGACGTGGAGTGGTAAATAGCCGTGCCAAGCGCCTAATATTAAATATAGTCATGACTACTATTTATAGGTAACTACCATGACTATCTCTTACCGCTATTAAAGCTTTATACTTAGCTTCTAATGAATCCCATGCTTCTTGGGCCCGTTATTAGGCTTCAAAGTACATTGCCAAACATCATATGTTGAATTAATTATACCCCGAGAAAAGGCCAACTCTCATTCATCAGCCCTATAAATACATGCTCTTTGTCCACATAATTTGCATAGTTACTTAGAATCAATCGATACATCGCTCGAAAAATCGATGAACTTGGGCCAGGTATTTGTGAATACCAGGTTCTTGATAGACTTCTCGGCCTCATCAAATGCATCGGCTGTGAAATTCGTAGGAACGACAACGGAATTCGGAACACGGGACTCAATCTGCATGATACTCTGCTCCTCGTGAGCATATGCATCGAAACACAGAGCCTGAGTGTCTTCCTCCACGGTTATCATAGTTGACAACTTCGTTCTGTGCATTGCCATCGTGTTGTAAGATTCGGGAAGATTCCTGTAGGCGCAAGCTTCGCCAAACATTTCCAGTAGATCTGAATAAATTCGAGATTCAATGTTGATAGGAAATTCCGCCAAGTTCATATCGACGCAGAATACGTAAATCTCAAGTGCGATCTTGAAGAAATGAAGTCGATGAGACTGAGGATCGCAGTTCCAATCGTATTCCGGGCTTGATTCACCGATCTTTTCCCATGCGGCCTTCCAGTCGCGCACGTAATTCAGGAAGAGGATATTCTCCCCGCTGAATTCCTTGGCCGCCGCAAATCGGAGAAGAGCACTGGAGTTCTCTTCTAAACATCTCTCCAGAGCTCCTCGGGAATAACCTTCAGGTACGCGGCTGGCTTCACTCGTAGTTCGTGATGGTGCTGAGTCTGATTCTTGCACGCTGTTTGTTTTCTTTTCATTCCATGCTTGGAGTTCCCCCAGAAAACGATCTCTCTGTCCCCTGGAGACGACAAGCTCATAACAAGGGAAGAAGATGGTAACAGCTTCCATTGCCATAATGCCGGGAGCAAACCTGTGATGGTTATTAGCTGAGTTTATTTTGGATTTTATTATGGGCCTTTATTACCATAGAGCTGGCACCCAGTATTTGTTGATGACTGCCCAGGTATCGGTTGAAGAATATAGCGCGGCGAACCACATGGGCGAACCTGGTAAACTACAGATCCGTCAGTCTCGTGTATTGGGTGATACCATGGCGATGCCACAGAAAATGGGCAAGTGCTTACGCGGCGATAAGACAGCAAGTGATCTGAAGCCGCCAGTGATGGATGTCGTGGATGTTGCGAATCCTCCACAGAACGTATGGCGCGAATACCCAAGACCAGAGTAATTGCCAGAGAATTGAAGGAATCCTTGAAGATTTAATATCAGAAAAAAGTCGACCATATTACCATTCTAAGCAGAAATCGTACCATTCAGGGCCTCGCCGACATTCCGCGGCGCTCACATGTTCGGAGAAGGTTCCAAAGCTATGAAACTTTCGGGAGGTAAGGAAGATAGAAAGCGATACGAGTAGCTATAGATGCGAGAAGAGATGAGTGGGGAATACCAGGGAGCGGGTGCGGAGGATACACTGACTTGAACCGAAATCCCAATAGCAATACCCAATTCCGTTCGTTGTACGAGGTTTAGTTGTCTCCATCGAGCTAGGTATCGACTAGATGATTCCGAAGGATTGATAAAGTGGGGTCTATTCGGTTGCTGCGCGGTCAAAAGCAGCTTCTCCTGAACGCCAAAGACGTTCAGAAGCTGCATACTGTTTGCTTGGTAAAGAGCGATTCCCACGGGTAAATAAATGTTCATGATCCAGTATTCTGCGGCACAAGGGTATTTACCACCCATCGAATATGCAACCATGCACAGAATCCAGAAGACATGGAGACATGCCACCGCACTCAACATGAGACGCAAGTTGCGGATGCGAATGCATTGCTCATGACGATTGACAATAAGGAAGGCAGAGCCGGCAAAGAGAGCAGCGGTCCAAGTGATGGCCACCGCTACATAGAATTTGGCCAAAGAATCGAAGGTAGCCGCGCCACCGTGGTCCCCCCGGGGCGGGTGAAAGACATATTTGGATTGTCTTAGATGCCCAAAATAACCATCCGGAAAGCACCGATCTCTTTTTTTTTTTTTTTTTAGCAGCCTTGAGAAACGGGGTCAAATGGGTCGGGTCAATAAATGAGCGACAGGGATTGATAATGGCAATTTTGGGTCCAACGCTGGGCACAGGGAAAAGATGACTTGGATAGTCCGAGAATCCGACGAACTGGCCCCAACGGTCTTACCCCTAAGGTCCTGACCCCTGAAATAACATGAAACATGATGAATCATTTCCATGCAACTAGATAACTAGCATAGGCATCTAGTGACTAGCATAGAAGTGGCGTGAGTCAGTGTGCCAATCCCGTGCCAATCCCGTGCCAACCCCCCGACGGCCCGAACTCGGGTATCCGCAAACCCTAACCAATTGGAACGACCTGGCTTGCGTATGCCAACAGGATTCGGCCTGGCCAACGAGATTGCTCACATACATGATATCCCTACCCCTCGATACATATAGGTAGAGTTATATATATATATATATATAGGTACTCCATACCCGAACTACGCATAACTCGTAGAAAAGTTGTGAGTAACAACTGATGCGTCGCGGACTCCCCAATCTTCCCAATGCCAGGGCTTGCCCCTCGAGGCCTCTCCGAACACCTAATACAGCCAAGGTACCTGCAACTAGGAACTAGGGGGCCAGCGGAAACGGCCGGCTCAGGGGTTGCCTTGCCCGTGTTAGCACCGAAAACCCATACCATTCATTAACCATGACCACGGGAACTTGGCGAGACCCAGTTAATTTCAACTGGCTGAATCCATTCAAAGTTTGAGAGCGCACATGGATTAAACAAAGCCTCGTTTTGGTGCCTCGTTAGGCGTTGTGTGCGACCGTGGAGAGTGAGTCGATCCCCCAGTCTTCAATCTTCCATGTCAAAGCTCGAACGGTACTTTTTGGTCATTACCATGAAATTATAGAATATAACTAACTCGATAGTATGACCTACAATGACACCTCCCAAGGATGTTGTAATGTTGCTGTGCAAACCGGCCAACTACTCAAGACGTTACTATCGCAGAGGGGCCTTGTACTTTTGTACTTTCGGTGCTGCGGTGCCAGATGGAAATGGTTAGGAGACCCACAAAATTCCACCCCAAACAACGTGGTGATCTTCTACTGTTACATTTATGTACCGTTATGGGGCGGAAACGGTCTGTGATGGGTTGATAGCAATCAACGTTGTCGGCCGTCCGCCCGCAAGCGTACCCCGGCACACACCACACGATATTACATAGAATAAGAATTGATTGAGCTCGTCATACAATCCCATCTTTTTAATCTCTCCATCCGCTGGTCCAAGCACATTAACATCGTTTCCACATTTGTTGGTGTCCTTAACTGTGACACGACACTCCCACAGAATGGCATCTCCGCCCCAAAGACCATCTCCTGTACATGCAAGCAAGCCGAGTTTTGCAGCATCAGTCAATACATACCTGAGTATGGAGAGTACCTGGGACTGGAAGAGGTCTTCTGTCAAAGTCGATGTTGAGGCTCAACGTAGGCCACGCATAAGCTTTACCTCAATACGATATCTCATTCTCACGATCTATCGCCGCCTATTTTCATTGATTTATTGTGCCAATGCGATCGCATTCATTATTATCATGATAAGGAGCCAACAGAATCTTCTTGCATTCGTCAACGCAGCGGCCATCAACTTGTTGGTATGCGGTCTTGCTCGACACCCGCTAGTAGTGAATGCTATCTTCCGGAGTATATGCCGTATACCTCAATCGGCTCCTCTCGCACTGCGCAGAAGGGCTGCTGAAGCATATCAGTATGGTGGAGTCCACAGTGGATGCGGTGTGGCAGCCTTGATATGGTATACCGGCCTCGTGGGTCTAATATCAAAAGAATATTGGTTAAACGGAGACTCGGGGACGATTACCGTCCCCGTGCTTGTTATATCATATGTTTTACTCGTTGATCTCGTTGTCATCATTGCGGTTGCGTACCCTACGTTCCGAGCAAAAATACATAACTATTTCGAACTGACACACCGATTCGGCGGTTGGTTAGCAGTAGCTCTGTTCTTAACCCTTCTGCTGGTCTTCTCAGAACAAGCCCGACATTCACAAGGCTTATCTCTCGGTCAATACCTGATTGAGCTACCGGCGTTTTGGTTCGTCCTGGTCATCGTTGTCTCCATTGTCCACCCGTGGCTCCTTCTCCGCCGCGTCCGGGTTTTGCCAGAGCATCTCTCATCGCATGCTGTCCGACTTCAGTTTGATCACACACCTACGGCATTCGGTAAAGTCCTAGCACTCTCAAACCATCCGCTCAAGGATTGGCACAGCTTCGCAACTTTCCCGAATCCCGATGGTACGAGCTTTTCCTGCATAGTATCCAAGGCAGGCGATTGGACAACCCGGTGTATCGATCAGAAACCAACCCAGCTTTGGAAGAGGGGAGTGCTCATGTACGGCTTTATCCACGTAATGCGGGTTTTTCGCCGAGTGGTAGTGGTTGCCACGGGATCGGGAATGGGGCCATGTCTCTCGTTTTTGAGTGAGAAGCATCGCCCGCAGTTACGAGTCCTCTGGCAGACGCGGAATCCACATCGGACGTACGGCCCGGATGTCCTCAGTCTTGTGCACCAGCTCGATCCAACCCCACTTCTCATTGACACCAACACCAGCGGCCGAGTGGACATGGTGCCAATTATCCAAGAGCTCGTTCGAGAAATTGACGCCGAGGCTGTGTGTGTGATCAGCAATCCGCGACTCACAAAACAAGTGGTCTTTGAGCTCAAGGAGAGTGGAGTGCTTGCCTTTGGACCAATATTCGACTCTTAAACATGAGAGCCAGAGAATGTACATATATATAAGTGCATTATGTACAGTGATGAAGATATCTGACCCATTTAATTTGTTGTGGATCTCTACTAGGTCTATATATACCTAGGCAGGTACGTACTATTGGACGAGTTGTGATAGAGTTAAATTTAGCTTTTTATAGTGCGGGTACGTTCCAAGGGTTGCCGGTGTAGAGGGGCCTTAAGTCTCTCCCTGCCTTTTGGCGGTGCACTTTTATTTCTGTTTGTCCTGGTGTTATACGCTCTAGACGAACCCGCACTGGTTTTCTGATATCTTGCAAGTACTGCGCTAAATCAAGACCACTCTCTAACCCACTTCCTTTAGTGTATAGCCATACGGAAAGCTAGTGGGCAGAGAAACCTATGATTATATTTATATTTGGGGGTCGTCCTAGGAAGCGCTCCAGCATCCCCAATAGGTTCTACTCTCTTCCACCATACTCCAGAACCCCACTCCAGAACCCCTCGGCGGTACTTTTCCCAAGTATGTTTGTTGTATGGGTCGTGGGAAAAGAAAGAGAGTCAAATCTTGGGCCATGGCCGTACATCTTGTTCTATTAGCATTATACACTGACATAGCTAGTGTTAACGTGCCATAAGTAAGCATAGTAACAAACATCATAAACAGCTGTTAGATGACTGAACGTTCCAAACACAAAATCTATGTCTGCATATTTCACCTAAGAGCGACATTGGGTGGAATTGAACCAATCCCAGAGAAGTCCTGTGCTTATTATCTCCATAGTATGGAGTGGCCACCCGACGGGACCTCCGACAAACAATACTATTTACGCGATCCTAGACCCGAAATTAATACAGAATCTCTCTCGTTCAACACAGGGTATATAAACCCCTGGATTTCTAGTTACAATAGATTATGATTGCTCTTCTACTTTCTCCCTTACTTAGTACTAATCTATACAACAATATGCATTGCAACGCTACTGGCCAGAGCATAGATCCTTTGGACTCTCTGTTAAATAAAATATAAAACACCCTAAAGCTTAGCTACATATTTAGAGCGGAGGGCATACAACATAGACGCAAACGATTTTGGTATATTTCAAACTTTGATACTCAGTACAAGGAATTATCAAACGTAATTACGCTCCTACATTGTTATGGTACATGCAGCAGAACCTGTATTCTGTATATTGTGTATATCCTTTTTTTGGGCTTGGCAAATGAATTGTCTCTGCAAATAAAGGCCGAGGGGCTTGTGACTATTTATTTCATATACAACATAGGGCTGCCCGGCTGGTTCAAGGAGCCTCGTGATCTGACCGCCTTGACGAAACCTGGGGTAACTCTTCAATTGACTCCAATGTTCTCTGATTTCTCCTACTTCCCAACTACGAGCCACCATGTTATCATGTCTCGCGCGACCGCGCCTAGGGCGCGCGACCACCTCCATCGTACGCACACATACCAATCGTTCCTTCTCAATGAAGGGCTTGTCTTCAAATTCAAAACTTTATATTGCGACTGCTAGTTTGATCAGCATACCCGGTTTGTGGTGGTTGACCACTACAGGGGATGATGTGCCCCGCCTCGAAAGTTCATTGGAGCACTTGGCCCCTGAGCGGGGTCCCTCTGAAGAGGATGTGACACGCATCTTATCGAAAGAAGCATACACCTTCCAGGTTAAAAATATTGCGAACGTCAACAGATACGATGGCGCTCAACTGGCTTCCAATAGCCCGTGCGAGGACCGTTTTATTCATGGCAAAGTCTCCTCGCCGTGGAATGAAAATGATCAATGGATGTCCTGGGCTGTTTTTGATGGACATTCAGGCTGGCAGACAGCGGACCTACTGACGAAGCAACTCCTGCCTTTCGTGCGACGCAGGTTCACCGAAGCTAAACCGCCCTCAAACGACGAACCGGTGCCAAATGAGTCAATCCAGCGCGCAATCATGGAAGGATTTGTGGATCTTGACGACTCCATCATCAAGACTGCACCGGACACAGTTAAGACCAGCGAATTATTCCAAGACAAAGTTAAGAAACTGGCCCCTGCTTACGCCGGTTCATGCGCTTTGTTATCTCTGTACGACCCCTCCACAAGCACTCTGCACGTTGCGTGTACTGGAGACTCAAGAGCGGTTTTGGGACAAAAGGGGTCAGACGGAAAGTGGGAAGCAATTCCCTTGTCGGTAGACCAAACTGGCAGTAACGAAGAAGAGGTCACCCGAATTTCCAAGGAGCACCCTGGCGAGAAAAACATAGCCAAAGGTGGACGGGTGCTTGGACTCATGGTCTCACGAGCGTTTGGCGATAGTCTGTGGAAGTGGCCTGTGGATTTCCAGGAGGAAATGAAGCGGAAATTCAATGGTCCAGCACCCTTAACGCCACGGTACGATGTTCGCACACCCCCATACTTGACTGCCGAGCCGGTCGTGACAAGCACTAAGATCGATCCGAACAAACCCTCATTTTTGATTATGGCAACGGATGGATTGTGGGACTATCTCTCCAGTGAGCAGAGTGTTGACTTGGTAGGGAACTGGTTGGAACCACAAGGAACTAGGGAGAAAAAGAGCATACCAGAACAAGAATTTGACTTTGGCAGATTCTGGAAAGATGTGAACTGGAAGTTTGAGAAAGAGAGATCAACAACTCAAGATGATAACGCTGCAGTACATCTGATGCGAAACTCCCTTGGTGGAAATCACCACGAGTTGATAGCAGGTCGGCTTGCCTTTGGCCCTCCTTTCTCTCGACGGATACGGGATGATATCACCGTACAAGTTGTTTTCTTTAATGCCGAGAAGTAGATGTCGAATACTTGGTCAATCTTGAACTTAAAAGTCTATTTCTTGAGGATGTACTATGTACCTCCGAACCCTTTCGGGTGGCGGAGACCAAAGATATCTTACGACAACTACCGTCACTAATGTATCACACATTTTCCAACTATTCAACTATTTTTTCATCACAATTTCAAAGAATGAGTCTGTCAAGAATGTCGTTTATTCCTCGCGTGACTGGAGGCGCTGCTTTGCGTACTCGCTCAGATGATTCCTCAGGTTATGCCTCATATCATCCTAGTGGCTATATAGATTGGTTGTTAGCAACCTCGTGGATTTGGATTCCTGCTGCCATTGCTCTCATTGCGGGGATAGTCTATGGGATAGTCTACGCTTTTAGAGAATATGATATTTGCGAACGACTTCGTTAGTAAGTCATCGAATCTACCAGTTCCCATCAACGAGAGACGCTAACCAGCCCCTAACACCTAAGCCTTATTTGCTCGCCTGTAAATCTATTACAGATTGGATTCGAAAAGTTATACCACTTGATTTCCAAGGTATATCACTTGATTTGCCGAAAAGCAGCGCCTCGCGAACAGCAAACTATTCCTGGTAAGGGAGATCCATCCAACCTAACTATTTTCAAGTCACTAAGTACGGTTGCCTTTGTTCAGCGCCCATCGAAATGGAAAATATCAGGAATACCAGGATGCAATATGTAAGATCTGATAGCCCAGATCCGCCAGACTACGAACGCTGCTTGTCTCTAGAGGAGCCCTTGCCTGTCTACAAACCATAATAGACCTTGGCTGGAAGAATGAAAAGGAATATGGATGGAATAAAGACAGTGGTACATTGCCTTTACATTGCTTGACTTGGGCTTTTTATTATTTTGGTGTCATGTTCAATATGATACTACTGTTATATAGGTCTATGGATATGAGAACTCCAACTCATCTAGCTTAACTTTGGAAACAGTGAAAAAGACGCCAGTGAGTATATTTAGAAAATCAGTACTGAAATCCGGGCGTAGCTTAATAGTACCAATCCTAGTATTAAGGGTTGTACATAGTAGGTGGTCACGATAATTTCCGGAAGCACTATACAAGATTATTGACTTCATTTTTGGCGAGATACTGTATTTGGTGGTTATTTTATGTGTTATTTTATTGAGAACAACCAGTTCTCCAATACGCAGGTTGTTTAATGCCGCTCTTAGAAGCCGGCAGCATTCTATTATTATGGTATACACAGTACTAAATGTTGCGAAGACTCCTTACACAGAGGCTAGATCTTGAGAATTTGTACAAGAGGTCATCACTAAAACGGAGACGGAGAGCCAAGAAGTGGAAGAGGAAATCAAGTAGGTCGACGAGTCATACCGACGCAAACCTGGGGTTGAGTATGCATATATACATTTAGCTTCGACAATTAACTCGATATAGACCTCCACCTCATACCTCACTTTCACTGACATTCATATTTGCCAAAATGGCTCCTATTCCTGATGATAAGTCTGATTCAGAATCAGAATCGCAGTCTAACATGACTAACGTGGTTGCCGGGTGGATTGGAATAGTCATACTAGCACTCTGTGCAATAGTATTGATCATTACTGTATGCGCCTTATTGAATCAGTATGTATGAACCCCAAAAAGAATAAGACCGAACACGATGATTTCATAAGAAAACGAACCTTTCAGAGACCTTGATGCTAAAAAAAGATACTTTCATCCTGCTAGCATTGGTTTTTTTGATATAGTCAGCCGCTGGATCAAGAACAGCTACACCCAAGCAAAAGCAGCTCTCAGTGCAACGAGGTCAAAAGCAAAGTCCCTTTTCAGCACGGCGAAGTTAAAGAAAGCTAAAACACAAGGCTATGGTAAGATCTATGCCAATCCTTAAAACCAACAGGATGCTATGATATGAAGATTAACACTCCATTACCATACAGATCCGCACAGTGCTTCCGATGTGAGGCTGCAGGACATGGTCCCTCCCCCTAAATCGTCAAAACCTGCTCCTTCCTAAATTCAATACACAAAGGTTTTGGCACAAGATGCTCAGAGGAAGCAATGGCTCTATGGCTATCTGGAGCGGGACAGCTGGTACACAGTATCTTTTGAGATGATGAGTTGCTTTGAGGTAATTGCCCATGAGTAATGAAGGTCATTACTATATTTATGAAGAACCTTGCGATTTAGTTCGCTACTATTGGGAATTTTGCAAATATTGGCTTCAGCTGAATGAAGGGATCCGGGCCATAGAAATTCTAAAATTTACAGATCTCAAATAAACTAGTTAAACACGAGAATTATTCATTCACGCATAGCCTGTCCTGCAATTAAAAGAAAGAAACCAGCAAGTATTGACAGACAGGGGTATATGAAGAAAAGACATGCTTCGCAGTAATAATCCAAGTGCGTGAAATTCTCAAAGAAAGACAAATGGTTCATGCTCATTCATCATCAACGAAGGAGTTAGCCAGGTGGCCAAAGAATGGGACTTCAAAGTGGTCCAAAGTATCAACTGGAGATAATGTGGTTAGTACCAGATCCATCTTTCCTGCCAACGAACAGATCGGCTGTATTGACAGCTCCTGTGGAGAAACCTCGGAAGACTCACCATCTTGGTAAGCATGCATGCTGAGGAAGCCGATTAATGCGATATCGATAATGAACAATGTCCAGGAAAGGAAGCTCGACCAGCAGAACAGTATGTGGATGATCTATGTTTGGCGTGTGAGCGTATATACAACATTAGGAAAGACGGAATACTCACAAACATGGTAGCAAATAACATGCTGGATTGCCAAGCATGAAATCTATGGTAAATAGTCAACAGACCGAGCTTCAAATTAACCCTAGAGTATCCCAAACTCAATCACGTACCGCACATAGTCACTCTTGTGTTCCGCTAGTAGCAGGAATACACCCCCGGCGGGAGGCAGAAGCAGATACGCTAGCGCTGCTTCGATATCCATGCGAATGGGAAGACTTGTTTCAAAAGCCCCTAAGCTCACATGGCCACCCTCAACGTCTCGCCCGAACCCTGTGTGGCCATGTCCACCGCTAGCAAAGCGACTAGGGGAGGGTAGGTCGGTCGAGGCTCGCGGTGAGCGGAGAATTGGGGATATTCGGCGACCGTCTGGGTGGGGAGGGGATAAAACACGCTCAATCTCCGGTGATTGATCTTGATAAGGTGCGAAGTTCATTGTGTTGTCCTTACCTGGAAAGGTGAATGACGGAATGATCCTTGTGGATCAGGGGAATGATTTGGGGTAATCTCCTTATCGTTATCAGATGCGACGCGTGAAACTGCCCAGTGATGCCTCAGGCGGCAACATATTAAAGGGTATCATATCATTCTGTTTTATCTTCATACTTAAAAAGATTTATTTTACATAAACTACTAGTGCTCAGTCCATCTAGACCTTCCCCCGACCGCGAGAAATCCCACTCCCTCGTGCTATCCCACTGCCTGGCCGTTGGCTTGTTGTCGTAGAACCACGTGTTGCTGTGCGGGTTGTGCTGACACTGGGTGTTCTTCCTAAGCCAGTGGTTCGAACTGTGCCCCTCGTAGTTCCGCGGGTGCCGCGAGTACCCCGAGTGACCTGTGCGCGTCGCTTTTCGATTTCCTCGGCTTTTCGCGCTGCTGCTTCCCTTTGTTGCTGAAGTGCTTGTTCACGTCTTTCTGCCGCTTGCTGTCTTTGAATCGCCTGGTTCTCGATATCGACCACATCCTGAGTAGCTCCCTGCCAGTTGGGGTTGAGGATCAATCGCTGATTATGCTCGGTTTGGGAGAGAATACGAGTCCACGTGTTAAGAAGTGTCGAGGCCGAGGTAACAGTTTGTGAGACCGTCTATACGGATGGTTAGCCAGAGTATTGACCATGCACTATGGGAAGGGCATATTACCTCCATATTTCCTTTGGCGGAGTCCAAACTTCCTAGAAGACCTTCTATCACTTCGTTGATATTCCGCACACCTTGTAATTCTGTCTGGAGGGCAGCCTCTCGGGCCTCCTGCTGATCAAATAGAGGATCCTCGCCGTCATGGGAAGCTCGAGGCTCTGGGGTAGCTTTCTCGTCGGAGGTTCTTGGGTTGATCTTTTTCTGGGCAATTCTCTTAGATGGCGAGTTCCAGAGGTCCTCTGTGTCATCATCGGATAGCTGAAGCCTCTCCATTTCTTCTGCTGTGGTGCGGAAAGCCATGATGTTGAATTTGCACAGAGTAGGAGCCGAAGTGTGTACAAGCAATCCTGAGGTGCTGAGCACCCGAATAGGTTTAACCGTAGACTAATCGCCCATATAAAGTACTTGAAGGTCAATTGATAGCTGGTGAGCGAGAAGATCGACGGTTGTAAGACAATCTAACAGGAAATTGGGGTAGATCGAAATAGGAAATCCACATTGTTGACGCGGGGTTTTCAGCCACCGTAATTATCGGGCGGTGAGGATACCCGGTGGCTGGGCGATAATCGGCTGTCACAACAACTTCGCCCTTCTTTCATCCCCGTCTTATCGTTATTTGGTTCTTGTCACCTCGGACAATTGGATATCTGCAGGCTCGTGTTTAATACCTTTTTTTGGGCTTTCATATCTCCGACTGCTACCCTGGTTTTAGCCGGATATCTGACAAGTCGGATGTGGTACGCCCTTGATTGAATCAACACTCCTCGACACTTGATCAAGATCGTGAAAGTCAGAAAAAAAGCCCGGGAGTAAACTGTGACTAGAATACTATTTACATTTCCCCTCAAAATATCGCAAAGTATCGAGCGGTTTTTCAATCGTGATTCAAGTCAACATGGCGTCAACACCACCGCCTCCATCACCGTCTGAGCTTCGCGTACCCAGGGCGCCGCGACATGGGGCAAAGCACGACAACTATGAACCTTACCCTACACGCTACTCTGCGAGACTTGCAGATCAACGAATTTCAAGGGTTGTCCAAACCACGCCACCCCCAAGTCACCCAAGCGCATCTGTCAAACCTGGACCATCCAAAAGAACTCTTTCGCCCTCTTCTCCTGGCACCGCCAAATCCTCGCCCAAAAAGGTTGCACGCTCCCACAAAACTGCTGCTTCCCGAATTTCTCCCTTTAATTCGGAACTTGGACTCCCCCGCACTTCTGCACACCACACCTCCCGTTCCTCTGCAGAACAGGCTTTACCTACCCCAGCTAAAACTCCTTCAAAAAAGAAGGTAATCAATTCTGATTCTTCTACATCTCGTTCTCTGTTTCCTTCCACTTCCACACCAAAACGCAGAAAAATGGATACCCCCAAACACTCTGCCGCAGAAGCCCCAGCAATCTTTGTCGACGAGCCTTTAATTGGGTACTCTATCGAAGCTGCAGAGCAAGAGTTGGGTATCCCCATTCATGAAGATTCACGTGATCGCATCCCTGTGGTCGGCCCACTCTCGACTGATTCGTTCATTTCCCAGGCTGCAAAAGCAGTCGGACGACCTGCGACTCGCTCAACCACCAACCACAAAGATGGAGCTTATTATGTCCAGTAAGTTATGCCCCACTTACCCGTCATACTCACACTTTCTAACTTGTATCTTAGCCGTGGAAAGAAAATATTCAAGCGCTTTGATGACATGGAAGATGAGGCTGAGGATGAAGATGACCTTGGTCTTTTCGCCAACCGCCCCGATCTGCTGGCCGATAACCCTGATATTCTCAAGAGTGTGAAGCCTTTGAAACGTGGCGAAATCAAGCCTCGCCTCCTCTTTTCTCCACCCGTTCAGCCTACCAATGGTGATGAGGAGGATGTCACTGATGTCGAGGATCACGAGCCAATGTCTCCAACTCCGGCTTATGAAGACCAGAAATGTCTGACCCCTCCCATCTTGCCAGATCCAGCCACTCCTTGTTTTGAATCCGAGGACTCATCTGTCGTTCGCCCTGCCCCTGTTGGACGTGCTGGTCTCCGTTTCCCTCGCTCTGCTGTGGGTGATGTGTCTCCTTTACAGTCCGCTTCTTTCTCTGAGGACTATGGCCTGAGTGCTTCTACCGAGGACCAGACTCGGTCCCGAGGTCTCTCTGTCAGCAGTGGTAGCAGCCTCCTGAAGTACTGGCCATCTGTCAGCAGGAAGACGCGGGAAGTTGAAGCCCCCACCGACCGTGTGAAGCGCATCCGCCAGGCCCGCGGTAGCCCTGCCCCACGCACCCGACAGGCCCTGCGCGCAGAAGCTTCTGGAGCGGCTTCGACCGCTGAGCCGTCCACGCCTGATTCCTAGGTTTCACTCAAGCACATTTTCTCACCTCGAATTTGCATTCTTCCAGCGCTTTGGAAATTTTCACCCTTCGTTTATGCGTTGTGCCGGACCTGGCGCTGAGGGGGTCAATTTTCTGTTTGTTACGCCCGGGCGCATCCTTTTTTTTCGGCGCCTTCTTTTTTCAGATGTTCTCCTAATGCCCTTCTTTCTCCCCACGACGGCCATCCTGTAATTGCTCGGGCCGCTGGTGTGTCTCGTTTTTTTCTTTCTTCTTTTTTTTTTTCCAATGGCGCACATGGGTTTGTGAATCGCGAATACTAAGGATACCTCATGAAAACATCTTCGACTTGAATAGCGGCGTTTCCCCTTGTCTTTTCATCCACGCTCTTCCAGACTGTTTCTTTTGGTTTTGATTTTTGGTTTTGATTTTTGGTGTTTTTCTTTTTTTTTCTTTTTTTTTTGTTTTATTGATCGCGGGAAGCGATCATCACGGGAGGAATCATGGTTAAGCCGAACAGGTCAATGGAAATTTGGGATATCTTGGAAAGTTTTCCTTGTAGCTGGTGTTCAGGAGTATGTTTGTGGTGTAGTCAAAACAAGCTTTCCAGAGTTCGGCAGTAGCCGCGCTAATCACCGACGCTATTCGTACAAAAGCCTTCCATGGGCCTTATAATTGAGGCACAAATACATTATGTTAATCATCACATCGATTCATGACAGGGACTGTATCTAGCTCTATTCCTGGACAAATCCAACAAAAAAGAAATCCGCCCAATGCAACCGGGACATGCTTTGTATTCGTTACAGCGTTATGAGTATTCTTAGTATCCTCAAGGGGGACCCAGGGGTTGAAGTGGTGACAAGATGGATAGGGGCATTTGGATGCATCAAATGAACTCCAAATCATCATCATCGTCATCATCCAAGAGTATCTGTTTCCCACTTGGTGTGGTCTCAGCTGGCGCACCCAGGCTCTCTCGGCCAGCCTCCCTGATACCCCTTGAAGTGATGAACCGCGTTTTCTTGACCCCGCTGCCGTGAGGCTTGTCATGGGCACGCTTCATTGGGCTTAAACGGACGTTCTTGGCTTTACCGAAGGTGGTCATATCCATGCCGTGGGTTGTGGTGGGGCTCTTGGGTAACGGGGTGCCTGATGCTTTGTCCTTGGTCGGACTCTCGTTGCCGGTCCTTGTGCGAAGGTACTCGGCACCCACACCACCGACACGGCCAGAAACTAGCTTTTGGGTGATATCACGCTCTCGCTGTTGGGTCGCGAGACGTCTGCGCATTCGTTCCTCCTTGCTGTCCATACCGCGGCCCATCATACCCGAGGCGATGAAGGGGTCGTCATGCGCATCAATCAGGTTTGCCGCCGAGCCTCCCATGGGGTTGTAGGACGAACGACCACCACCGTGGTTTCTGGAGGGCGCCACGTAGTAGAGCGATTGAGATCCCATGTCATACTTAGGACCATCGTGTTTCAGTCCTTGCTTGAAAGCACTTCCTCGCTTCGCTCCTTCCCCGAACAATCCGGTGCGCGAGCCGGATTTACCACCAGGACCAAGCATACCGGTGTCAGAATTGACTCCTGAGCGTTGGCCCTGAGTGCGTCGGATCTGGATATCGACGTGGAAATCACAGAACTCGGTCTTTCGACCATCTATCCAGGATTGGCAGGTCTTTCCGTCTTTTCTCACAGCCTTGCAGAACCCGATATCCCGTGCCTTGCCAATCTCGAGGACCTTGTCATCTGATGAAGACAATGACAGACTGAATCTGTTTGTGTCCAGCTTGTGCTTTGGTGGAGGCATGATTGTAGGGTTCAGAATTGCGACGACAGTCCCTTCCGAGATTTTGTAATAACGGGGGAAAGCAGTGTCGAAAAGGAAGAGGTCAATAGTCCATTTCAGGTCGGTCAGGGTAATGGCCATATATCTGTTGGTGTTGTTACGCCCATCATCATAAGGGTCCTTTTCTTGGGCT